CAAAATTTGAGGAGCAGGTGTAAGACCAGAAGAGGGAGGAGCCAAATGCAGCCTGCCCTCCTCGATGCCCCGTTGCTCACTTCACTGACAGCACCTGGGCCTGAGGAGAGAACACACTGGTCATGAGTTGCCTGGGGAGAAGGAAGAGAACCCCAGGGGTGGCCCACTGCAGGGCCACCAGACCTGTCTCTGGTGAGGCAAGGTACTTGCTGCTCAGTGTCTGCAATATACACAAGCTTTGTGCAGCTGCCACCTTCATTGAGGGGCAATCTTCCCTTGCAGGAGAGCACAGGAAGCTCAGGGCCAAGGGTGGCCCTGGTGGCCACTGCTCCTTGGCTACTGGGTAATATTCTCAGGATGCTGCTCAGTATTAAGTTCAAGAAGAATAAATGTCCTCAACTGAGATTCAAATCAGTGAAGCCCCCGTACTTTTCTTATCAACACGGAACTCCTCTGAGCTCTGACTGCTTTAAACACCCACGTAACCCTCCAGCTGCTCAGCCTGTTGCTTAGGGAAGGACCTGTTGGACTCAGCAATCTGTCTGCCTGCTGCCACTGCTGTGGCAGGCATGGTGTCCACTCTGCATCTCAGAGCTGGTGCAGTGCTCTACCTGAACCACCTGGTCTCTCCCCATCTGGAAAAGGTAAGAGCCAGTGTATCATTTCCAGAAGGGCCGGAGCTGGCCCGTGTGGAACAGAGGTGGGACCGAGTCTTTTGCAGGGTGGATGTGGATAGAACCAGGGGTTATGTGGACATCCAGGTGCAGCAGAAACCTCAAGACGTGTCTGCATAGGAAGCAAACATGGAGGGCACATGTCCCTACAAGGCACTCATCACGCTGGACTGTAAACCTGTGACTTTAGAGATGAACCAAAGCCCAAGGGGCAAAAGCTCCAGTGTTCCCTAGGAGCTTCCTCATTGCTCTGAAACACATGCTTTTTGGCTATGTTGGCTCTTGTGGCCAAGGACCCCACAACAGATGCAGCTGTGATTCTTGAACAGAACCTAAATTAGATGCCCAGAAGAATCAGGAGTTGAGGGACCAACACACCATCTCACTCACTGAAACATCTTCCCTTGCCTCAAGTTTAATAGCAAGTGTCTCAAGCTGACTTGTCCAAGTCCTCAAAGGGTGGGAAATGCAAACAGAACAGATCCTGCTTGCAGGCGCTGCTCAGCCCTGGAGTCACTCGGGGAATTTCATAGTCCTAAAATGCCTGGCCCCAGGGAACTATCTGTATGAACTGCTAGCTTAACTCTCTGGGGCAGTGATACACAACAGGCCATAGAGACTTCTGTCCCCAGTGTGTGGGCACAGCATGCCTGAGGCTAGAATCTCTCAGCATCACAAATGCTCATGCCAAGTAGCCCAGGTAAGTGCTGCTGTTCTCTTCCCTGCATGGGGGTGAATTCTGGGTGACACAAGAGGGAGGGGATCGTTGTGAACACAAGAGGCAGAGGAGCACAGCCATGAAAGTCCTGAGGCCTCCCATCACACTCCTGGCTGAGGACTCATCACTAATTCGTGATGCCGCCTAGAAGATATTGTGTTTCTGTACATGCCACCTGCAGGAATTCCCTGTGCATCTCTACACACTGCTGTCCTCGCCCATCCTCCCTTGGGGTCCTCAGAGAAGAAGCCTCCCTGACCCCGTGGCATGGAGGACATTTCTCCCCTATGACCACTGTAAGCTCCCTTCCACCAAAGCTGAGCCTGAGGATGCAGAGGCACTGAGAAGGCCTGGGCCTAACTGGCCCAAGAGGCCTTCCTGGGACCTGGCTCTGTCTTCCCTGAGCAGAATCAGTGGCCGCATCCTACTTCACTTCTCCACATCACCTGGCATGGCTCCTAATGTCCCAACTGGACACAGCTGTAGGCACATGGCTTTCCTATTTCATCTCCATTGCTCTTCTGAACACCCCCACTCAGCTTTGAAGCCCATACCCTATTTGGTTCCCGCATGCTCTTCCTCTCCTACCCTGTCATGGCCAAGAAGATGCCTGGTGGTGAAAGAGATGGAGGGAAAATCCCAGCCCTGAGAGCATTTGGAGGCTCTCTCGTCTCCTGCTCCCTCCTCCTTCAGGGCTGACAAGGAGGGACAGAGGCTTGAGCCAGGTACAAAACCCAGCAGGAGCCTGGCTGTGTCACCATGAGAACAAGGGCAGAACACCTTGTTCCAGACCAAGGCTTCTGTAGCTTGAATGAGGCCCTGCATTGGCCTGTTACAAGTCCAGGTGGCTCTACCAGGCTCTCTATCTGGCACCGTTGTTCTGCTGTACTTCTTGTGATTCTTCTGCTTGGAAACACCCAGGGAGGCTCTAGGGACAGGTCCTAACCCTCAGTGCCAGGAAACATCTATGGAGAGCAGGAAACAGCTACCAGAAGCCTGACAACACACACTCATGCTTGTAGCATTGCCCTGGAAATGCCCAAGGTGTCTCCTTGCTCCTCCTACCTAGGCCCAAAATAGCTTCCATGCCCCCTCTGCAACCACTCCCACCTCCACTGCACCCTCGAGCTCCCTGTGCTCTTCACAGGCAGCTCCCCATGATCCTGCCTGTGCCATGGCACAGTCTAGAAACCATGTAGGGTGAGCTGGGCAGAAGCAATGATAAAGAGAGGTAGCCCGGAGGCAAGGGGCTGGGCACAGCCTCCCAAGGGAGGCTACTGGGGCTCCTAGGATACATTTTATACGTTTACACCATTACTAGGGTAATAGTCTTCTTTTGCAAGTATTCTGCTGCTAAGCTGAGTCCTAGACCCCTCCCTGCCCAACATTGTCCAGCTTTGTGGTGGAATGTGCCCTACACCTTCCCCCTCTCTGTCCCATCACCTCTCTTCCCTACCACATTCCCGTGTCCCCCTCTTCTGTGTAACATGGGTACGTGTGTGGCCAGCACCCCCTAGACATGTCTCTTCCCACTGTCACACATGCTGCCTCTCTTCCTCTCATTGCTTCTGTTCCTTGTTCCAGCCCCAGGCGTCTCCTCTAGGCAGACTTTTTGGATTGGCTCAGCTATGTCCCCTCAGTACCGCATGCACCCCATTGTTCAAACAGCGGTCACCCTGCCTTCTAGTTCTCTCTGTCTATCATGTATTGTCTGTGCGGTGCCATTAATTTCTTAAAGACCAATTCTGGGTCTCATTGGCCCATGGCAGGCGGCCAAGGGATGCTTGTTATGGAAGAGGAGAGAAGTCTGCTCATGCTAATCTGCCCATATTTACTTTATGCTTTTCTTTCCCTTAATATTATGCTTGGAGAAAAACAAAACACAATGGGAAATAAAACCGAAAACTTCCTGCCATGTTTTCTGATTTGCCTCCATCCCCCCGTTTCCAGATGCCTCTCTCGGATCTCTTTTCTTGTTCAAGTAGTGAAATCCCTGAAAATCCTGTTGCCAAGTGAATGTCTATTGAGTGGCAAAGCCACGGGACAAGGGGTTCTAGCAGAACACTTGCCATATCTGTCACAACACCTGATGGCTCTTATGTAGGAGGTGAGGATTATTATCTCCTGTCCGGTAGGTGGCTTTCCTGGTTTCCCATGAGTCCCGTCTCCAAATGCAGTTCTCTTCCCACTAAGCTGACTGCTTCTCTGGAGCTTCTGAGAGTGAAGAGAAGATGGGGCCACGGAACCTGCCCCACCCTGGATAAATACCACAGCGGACGCCATGAGAGGAGGAGTTCTGTCCTGGCAGGCAGGGGTCGCAGTGTCCTAGGTTCAGGCCTCCTTGGGGCCAGTGCTGCACAGAATGACAGCTCGGCCCATCTGCCTGGTGACACAGCCACACAGATGAGTCCTCTGTTCTTCATCTAGCCATGCCTCCACTCCACACTGGATGCTTTTATTGCCTGTCTCTCATTAGAGAGCTGTATTGGCCTAAAGAGACTAATTACCAGGACACTTAGGGTCCCAGAGAACTGTGATGAGTGTCAATTATCCATCGGAAACATCTGGCAGGAATGAAAGCCTCAAATAAGACACACTTTATTCCTAGCCAAGTGACTCACCCCAGAACCACCCCCTTCCTCCCATTCCGCCTCCCTCTCCCCATTTCCCTTCCAGTTGCAAGTTAGAGACAGCAAGAGAGAGAGGTTTACAAAGGGCAGCATGCAAGGCTGAGGCCCTAGAAGATCATCCCCTGATGGCATCCATGAGCAAAGAGACAGCAGGCGTGGCATGAGTGGCCAGAAATGGAGCTCTCTGGGCCCTGACAGGTGCTCATTAGTGCTGCCAGCAAAGGTGAGTTAGACCCGTGCAAGTGGAAGCTGCCCTGGGCAGGTAGTAGGTCCTCGGGAAGGGGTTAATCTAAACTGACACAGACAGTCGAGGTAAGGGGCGTTTTCCCAGCTTCCTAGGCTAAGCTCAGAGAAAAAGGAAGTGAAGCATTTCACAGACAGTGTCCGCACAAAGGCAGCCTGAAAAATAAATATACCAACCTTTCCAAGGGGTCAAGGCTGTAGTTTTCACTTCTAAAAGAAATTAAAAACAAGCCACTGTTAAGGTAGGAAGCAGGCAGAGCCATGCCCTTTGCACTCAGGAGTTTGAAGCATGAGCCAGCACGCATGTCCCAGGAGTTTCCCCAGGCCTCTCGCACTTTTCTCTTGTTGAGATGACCACAGACCGGCACACATAGTAACCCTCTTTGGCTTCCTGGGAGCAGATGGAGGTGAACTAGAGTCTGAAGAACGGTGCCAATAATGGGCAGATGGAAGTAGAATCAAAATAGCCACTAGTCTGGCAGAAGATGTGGCCACACTATTGAACCCTGAGGTGCTGAGTTAACCTCTTTGTGAACAATTTTCTGAGCTGGTCATCAGACTGTCTCCTAATTTGCTAAAGTGTCTACATGTTAAGTATGTAGCTGACTTATATTGCAGTGGTCTAGATGTAGCAGTTCATGCTGGGTTTGAAAGTTTCAACTTGGACCTATCTATGCATTTGAGAAGCACTGGTGAATTAGCTCCCCTAGGCCAGAGGAGACTGAGCTTCTGGTGTTTTCCCTCACCAAATGCATCCAGCGATATGAAGCTGACTTTTAGGCTCTTCTCTCTGGGGCTGATGGAGGCTGACCTTACTGTGTAGCCGTGCTCCTGGGCTGCCCTGAAGAGCTGTAGCGGCTAGCTTCTCCAGTGACTAACTACCAACTTTGCCTCTCTCGGGACCCTTGGTGTTTTTCGCCTTTTCAGCTGACGGCAGAGGCCTTCTCTGCTCTTAGTTTTTGATCTCTTTCCTTGGTAGCTAGGGGCCTCTACAGTTGCTCCCTTTTGATGTAGAAAGGGTGAAAATGGTACAATAGCCTTTCATATGGAAGCAATACATCAGCAGTCTGGGTTTTTGTCCAAAGGTCCTCACACATAGCAAGATGACCCAGATATGACCCATCTTAAACATGCCTATGATGTTTTGTTCAAAAGCAGATCAGCGTCTACCATGAAAACGCTCCATTTAGTCTTCAAAGCCACCTGATATAGGATGTTTTGTTAAATTTAAGTGGACATTACCAATCCTGAGAAGCCATTCTGAAGACCTAAGAGGTGATCTCTGGCTTAGTGCTTTGTTACTGAGAGGAGATACAGTGGACAGTCAGGGTGGCAGAGATGAGGCAGGATGGTGGTCCATGCTGTCTGAGGACTGTTGGCAAGGACAGGCCTCAGGACACGGACTGCTCTTTAACCAGAACAGGAGGTGAGCAGAGGCCATTGTCATAAATCGGCCATTGTGTGTATCCATAATGTGAGTAGGAGGAGACAATTGGAAGGAGGAAGACATTCTGAAAAGAGGCTTGGAGGGACAAAGCAGCCACACCACTTTCACCCTCAAACACATGGAGTGCTGGTTTAGACTGAGTTAGAGACACAGAGAAGTTCCCACCTGGAAACTGGGGATCAACTGAGGGTACAAGTTTGTGCTCTAGATAACAGTGCTTCTCAGCACAGAAAAGATCTGAGAACCACATCAGCTTAATTGTTCCTATCTAGCTTTTCTTTCTTTCTCACTCTGAATCTCCAACGCACTCAATATAAAAGGTCGATTCTCTTTAGCACTGACAAAGGTGAACAAGAACCTCACACTCGCCCTTGACCTCAGCTAGAATTTATTCAGTGGCATTCCAGACAGCAGTGTTGGAACCATTCAGGTTAAACACAGTATGCTTCTGTCTCTGCTTATAACACAAGGAGAAAAGGAAGGCAAGACGGGCTTTCCACGTACTGGAAACCCAGCATGCTGCCTCCGTCCAGGCCCTGTGCTTGGACATAAGGAAGAGCTGGGGATGCTGGTGCTGTCTTCTATGTGTCACTTGACACGCTTCTGTCAGGCAGTGCTCCAGACCACAGTCTATACCAGAGCCAACCCTAGCCATAAGCTCAAGGCTTGGGTAACATCTTGGGTATGAGAACAGAAGCAATCATATATTTTTTTCTTTACCAAAAAGTTGAGTGAAGCAGTGGTCAAGAGAACAAAACAGAGAGAACTACAGAAGGAGAAAGGACAAATGTTCACAAAGAATTAAAAGGAAGGTGAGGAGAAAGAGGGAGAGGAATGAGAAAGGAAAAGGCTGAAAGGAAAAATAGCTGTTTACACATTACGTTTCTGAGACTGTCAATAGTGAGTGGCTCTGGCTCAATCCATAAAATGAGGTGGGTTTTTTTTTTTTTTTGCCAGAAAAGTTAATACTTACAGGTGACTCCAAGTACTCAGATAAGTTCTAATTCTAATACCAAGGCAGGCCATGTAGTGATAAACACCAATGGGCACACACCCCAAGATATTGCATCTTCTAGCAATTGACAAGGCACAGAAATGGGAACTGTAGGGTGCCTTGGCTGCTTGGCCCACTTAACAGCCTCCAGTCCCTGCAGGGAAGAACTGGTCATCTCATGGGCTGCAGCTGTTCTGTCCTGATATCCAGTTTACTCTCCTCCCCTGTTCATTAATAAAATGTCTTGGTGATTACTCCAAGATTCACAAGCATTAATCAACCAACTTTTTCCAGCACTTGGATACCATCAAATTCCACTGAGCGCTTAGGAGACAGAAGATGAAGCGCCGGGGATGGCAAAGGAGCCCTGTGGAGCCGCTGAGCTTGAAGTGTGGCCTGGCACAGCTGCCTGTGCAGAAGTTCTGAGCGATGGAGACACAGCCCTGAGCCCTTATTTATCACTACGTGTGTCCTGTACCACCAAATATTAATACGGGAAGGTGACATGCAATCTGTCGTGTTTGCAAAACGGAGGCAGAGAAATACTTCAAGGGTGGCAAAAACTGCTGAGAAAGAATGAAATTCTCTTATCAAATTCCTCCTAGTCCTTTCCAATATTGGGTAGTGAAATAGCTTTGAACATCTCTTAAAGCCAAGGGTTCCCTATCAGTGGAAATCCACGCATTCGTATAAATCTTTCTCGTATTTCGCAGATAAGATGAGCACAATCTGGAGATCCTCCCTGAGGAAACAGGCAGCTACCTATTTTATTGGAGACAAAAAGAAGAGGGGAAAATCAGCACAGATGAATTAGAAAATGTGCCCAGGTGCATGGTCTGTTTGCTCTAAAATACTCCTAGTGTGCAGACCACCTGAGGTGTGCAGATAACTACAGGAAACCAAACAACTCGATGCCCACCTTCTGCACCTTCCTCCTGCCCCATCTGCCACACCCAACAAGGAGTTTGCTGGGATGAGGCACTGAACACAGCCAGGGAGTAATGGAACATAGCTGGCATAGAGGCATGTTCCCTCAAACTGGTCAGCTACAAAACAGGCAAGGCAATCTATTGTCTCCGCAGATGGAGTGGACGGTTGTCTGTGTGGACACCAGGTACCATGGTGTGTTTGCTTTGGACTTTGGCTGGTATTGCTGCTGATGGCGTTGGAGGGGGATGACTGTTCCCTCAGTCGTGTACACTTTAGTGTCAGCTAGTTAGGGATCATGATCTGTTGATCAATGCTGTTTTTCCTCTGAGAATGAGGTTCTCCAAAGTCAGTGTCTGCTAAAGAACTTCTGGAAGCTCATGGGTGGAATCAGCTCTCCCCCATGCGGCCCCTGCTTCCCTTACGCCGTGTACATGAGCTCCTTTCTGATGCTATTTTAGCTGTGTGAATTCGCCTCCTGCAGGCGTTCAGCATACATAAGTTGAATCACAAGTTGAATCTGAACAGGTCCATTGACTTTCCTTTTCCTTTTTACTTCTGTTGTGTGTTCCTATTTGTGGCTTTTTACCATGGTAATATACATCACTGAAGTGTACAGTAGGACTAATGTAGCTCTGACACTTCTCCTGATAAAAGTATTTTTCCTCATCTGTCAAACAGCTTCCCAAATAATTCATTTCTTTCTATCTCCTCCTCCACCTCCCAGTCCAACTGCCATCCTGCCATGAATATTGACACAAATAGAACGTAAACAGATAAACAGAAGGGAGTGGAGGAAGGTAGGAAGAGGGAGACTGGGTGATTGCCCTGGGAGGTCGGGGATACCTCTTCACCCACTAGCTGCCTTTGCTGGGTTCCTGCTGGGGTCCACACTCACCCTAAGTGGGGAAGATCAGCACAGAGCAGAAGTTTTATTCCACTGCTCAGTACAGTACCATCATGGCCACAGTGAACCTTAAGAAAATCAAAAGAGGTGAGTAGAGAGATGAGTGAAGCAGGAGTCCCGCGTGGGCAAGGATTTCTAGTGGAAGTGTCAAGACAAACCAGGTAATGAATCTATAGTTGGCTCCACAGGGGGCCTGGTCCTTCAGTTTGTATCTGGAGGTGCTACACACACCTGTGTTCAAAGCCTTCCTATGCATTTTCTGTTGAAAGTTGACACAACTCTGTGAGGTAGATGAAGCATATCTAGCTCATGTTATAGAGGAGGAAGTCCAGGTAAGCTTTAGTGAACTTGTCAAAAACAGACAACTCCTTGAGGTCAGGTTCTGAGCTAGAAGTCAGTGGTGCCCAATATGGATCACCATGTGCCAGGGGTTATCATGGGACACCACACCTGCCCACCCCTGCTCCTGCAGAGAGCCTTGGAAATGGAAAGATTCATTGCTGGAATGTCTGAGAGGTAATGCATTTGTGCTTGATTCTGTTGCTGAGGGGCGACTCCCAGGTCTGTTGTGAGAACAAGGCAGTGGGGCTTGTCTTCCCCCACATTCTGGGTTTTGAGATTTTGAGGAGGGTTTATTGTCTTTCTGTCCCAGCCCTCCTAGTACAGTATAGCCAAGGAATGAGCAGAGAGAAGAGAGCTATCCTTGCACATTTTGCCAGATCCCAAAAACCTCCTTAAATAGCCCTATACCACCATCTTCCAAACCCATGGACTAACAGGACTCTCAGGTAATGCACAAAAGGGTATTGGGAGGGAAAGGGGTTCTGGGATTGAGGGGAGAACAGAAAAAAACATAAGGCGTGGGGGATACTGACCTTGCAACAAAGTTGAGCTTGTGGGCTCATTTAGTTCTAAGTCGGGTGAGGGACATACAGGAGAGAAAAATGAAAACAAACACATATATTATATACAGTAGCTATATATTTATCATATATAGTTTGTATACTGCCTTTCACAAGCACTTCTGCAAGAATGGACAAAAAAAGAAAACACAATAACCAAAGGTGGCAGGACAAGACGCAGCAAGATGAATACCAAAATGCGTGGGTTTCCACACCTGGATGGGATGGCTGGGATGGGAGGGAGCTGCCCGCTCTGCTTATTCGGCTGACAGATTCATGTCTAGTGGGTACTGATCTGAGGCACTGATGCAGTAACAAAGATCCAGTGGCCCCTTCCTGAGATTTCCCCGATAGCCTCACCCCCATGTGTCATGTTGGAAGACCAAGTTTAGAATTTATGAATGAACCCATGGCACCATAATAGGAACATGGCTTTCCTGGAACCACTGTGATTCAGGAAATGAGGATGGAAGCCTCAAGTTCACTGACCACTATGCAAGCCCAGAGATCAGCTGGCTCACTTTGGGAAGGACCGCCCTATCCCTTTGGGCTTAAGCCTCCCGCCAAAGATACTGCTTATAATGAGCATTCCATACAGGCAGACTCCTCCCTTTTCAGGAGGCGTGTCACATGGGAAGGGGTGTGCATTTTATGCACAAGTTGGTCACAAAATGATGGTGATGCAGTTGGTTTTCAGCAATGACACTGGAAAATGGAATTCGCTACACATGTTGCACATAGTCACAAAAAGCAAACCTGCTCTGCAAGCTGCTCACGCCTAGTGGATGATTCGTAATGGAAGAGATATGGAGAGTTTCTGAATAATTTCATTGATGGTGAACCTCAATAGTGAACTTAGGAGCCACAGCAATGTCTGGAAAGGATTTGATGAGAGCCCATTGCTCAGAAAGTCTCCTGTCCAGGGTAAGCTGCATGGAATGGTGACACCCAAGCAGCATTCTTGTGATATGCTACTTGGTGAGTGTGTCTCAGCTGAGACTAGAACGTGGGATTGGTGTCCGGTTGACCCAATGAGGAGGTGCTGCACACCTTAATCTCCAGTTTGGAGATGTAGTATGTCACAGCTCTGAGACCACCTGTATTAGATAATGTCTCACATGTACTACATTCGTCTTTTATTGACCCCATTCTAAACTTAACGGACTAGGAATAGGCATTATCACTTTTTAATGTGTGTTAGAGAGAATCTTGGACTCCAGAAAACTGTAAGTGACAGTAATGTCCCAAAAGGTAAATGCTGTCATATCACTGGGGAGAGGCCAAGAGGGAAGCAGACGTCATGGCCACGTTGGGTGGACTGAAAGAACACTTGTGAGACACTGCTCCACTGCTTTCCACGTTACACATGCCAGCTCTTTGACTGCTTACTGCTATTTCACCTTGAGTTGGTTTAAGGGAAAAGGCTGGGGAGTCAGACAAGCCTTATTATATCGATGCCAAAATCACTGTATGGATCTAAATCAGGAGAACGCAGAGGGCAAAGCAGGAGGAAGACTCTTCCAAGTAATGAGGACCACCTTGGTGCAGAGCAGCCTGGAAAAGGGTGTGGGAGAGCTCTTGATTTTCGAGAAAAGAAAGGGGCAATCATTTCTTTCTAATCTGGGCTCCCTATGTATAGAGAGACATCACAAAAAAAAAAAAAAAAAAAAAAAACCAAAAACAAAAAACAAAAAAAAAAAAGGTCTGAAAATTATGTAAGGCACTCATGAACAGCATTGCCCCAGAGCGTTCAGAGAGGAAGAAAATGTTCAAATGGGAAGGGGAACATGGGATGGGAAAGGGGAGAAAGAAGGAAGGGAAAAGAAAAAAAAAATGAAGAGGAAAGAAGGAAAAATACAAACAACATTTTTGAAGTAAAGAAGGAGGGGAAGAGGAGTGGAAGGGAGGGGAGGGAAATGAGAAAAATAAGAATCCAGTTGCATCGCATCCAGGTATGAATTCCTGATGATGAATGTAATCATTACGTGTACATAAAAAGTACCAAAAGTGCAATTTTTTTTTTTTAAAAAGGCCTAATGAGTGTGAAGGACACCCATGAACATCATTGCTTCAGAGAAGCTAGATGGATCAATCAGTTTCACAGCTCTTTCCTGAGCTGCAGGCTCTGAGATCAGGGCAGGTCCCCCAGGTGAAGCTGAGCTGGAATTTACATGCTGGGAAGGCTATCAGGGGCGTGTGATTTGGAAGCAGAGATGTCAGGAGGCAGCCTACACTGTTGCCAAGGCCATGTGCCAGGGCAGAGTGGACAGTGAAGCCCTGAAAGCTATGAGATTATCTTGGATTCCTCAGAATAAAAAAAAAAAAATATGTTTGACAATTACCTGTCAGATTTGTTCTCTTCCCCTTCCCATCAAATCAAAGAGAGTTTTGTAACAGAGAGGTTATGGATAACAGACTTGAAACAAGCCCCGACACACTGAACTTGGTGAGGTCTGAGGGGTTTGAATTAATCATGTGTTCCAAGAGGAGGATCTGTATCATCTATCCAGGAACTGAAGCTCCTACCAGGTGGTTGGAGTCATAAAGAATGAAACCCTGCTATGCACAGGCATTTACCAGAGGGCTGGGCACCTGGGGACCCACCACAGAGCCTGGGTACCTGTTTCGGGCACCAACACACTTGCCAGACATGAAATGAAGGCTGAGCACTATGCATTATGATGTGACTAGTCCCTCTGTGGATGTTTAAAGGAGTCATGGATGAATGGCTGTGAATCTCCTAAGATGATGGTTTGGATGGACACATGTTTTAATCCAGCCACACAACATCCATTGATCAAATGGGAAACTTGGAAAACCCACATTTTCTGTCTGCCTTCTCCTTCTGTAGCTAATACTATTAAGGATCCACAGGTCTGTGATTCTGTTTTTTTTAAATAAAGTTTTTCTTATAATCCAATGGATGGGGGAAGTTTCAGAAGAAGGAACATGTTATATTAACCAAGGGAAGAAAGTACTGAGGTAGTACATATTCCTCTCTGGGTACCTTATAGTTACCCAATTATTCCCAAGTCAATTTAAGAGATATTACTAAGTGAAGACAAATGACATTTTTGGCATCCACAAATTTTCATCTGTTTCAGGGCTTTTTTCATTGGAGATTGAAATGGATGCTCCTTTTCATTCTTCTTTCTCGACTCCTGACATTTACCTTCACATATGGATATCCCCCCAACTCTTCCTTTGGTCTTTCCTTCTCCCCTTCCTAACTCATGTCTGAGACTCGCCCTTCAAGACCCTCCTTTCCAGTCCCTCCCCCATCAACCTGACCCCACTTCAAACCCTTGGGGCCCATTCAGGGCACAGTCTCACCAAATAGCGTGATGCTGGCATTGGTGTGACCCAATTTGTTGGAGGCCACACAAGTGTAGTTTCCATAGTCATGTTCAGAGACATTGAAAAAGATGAGTTTTGAGAGAAAAGGTCTGTTTTCCACTTTGACTCCCTTCTTTCCTTCAACCAGTCTAAGACAAGAGACAAAAACAAAAGGAGAGAAAAACAGATGGTCAGTTTCTCATGCAGGACAAAAGTACACCTGGGAATTACTGATTTTCCCATTTCCCCTGCCCCCATCAGACATCATCATGACCACTGTTCATGCCTGTGTGTAACTCTGTATGTTCACACATGATGGCATGGGAGATTTCCCCAGTTTTATATATGTAACTAGATATGCTCTAGGCAGGAGGTCTCACCTCTCTATCACCATATTTAAGTTCCCTGAAGACCCATGCATCCTTCTATCCTTGCTTTGTAGGCCTTCCAGTCAAAACACAACAGTCACACTATACCAGCACTGTGACATTATAGCAGTGTCACTTGTGCAGCAATTCTCCTCAAAAGCGAGGGTCTTTGATGCTGATGGTAATCAAGAAGGAGACGGCAGTGATGATTGTGATGATGATGCCAATAACCTGGACCAGGGAAACTCAGCCTCCTGGAGAAGAGTGACTTATGGAATTTTCTAGCTCCAGGGTAGTAAAATTTCTTCCTAAGTACTGGAGGCTTCATACAGATAAGGCATAATTTTTGGCTGTGAAGAGGAGAAGATAATCAGGCATCACTTTCACATCCAGGGACTCTGAAGGGCTTGGGAAGAGGCATCTTCCAAGAACATCACAGGAGACAAATCTGAGACGAGAACTCTGCAGATCCAGGACAGTTGTCCTGACCACCCCACCCCAACACACTCGCCAGCAGGCCCCTGTGCCAACCAGCTCCTATTCATCAGAGGGGCTGCCAAAGAAATGCCACCCAGCCAGTTGATGTGGGCAGGGAATCTGAATAACCTAGAGAGCCATGGATTCCACTCCAGGCCAACAGAGTAAGGGGAGGCAACCAGTGAGGGTAAACAGGGAGCATCTGTTTCTCTCCTTTTCAGGAGATGTCGGTGACAATTTCTATTACATTTCTGAACCTACGTAGGAATTTGAGACCAATATCTGCTCCTTTTGAAAACAAAAAATATCCTTTTAGAAAATGGGCTTTAAGTCAATCATTTGGTTTCCTTGAAATAATATGCAGTGTTTGTCTAAAAGCTGATCCTATGGGATGAGAAAGAGAAACAGGATGGGGCAAAATATCTCCGTTTAGGCTCTGGCCTGGAGCAGGACTCAGGAAGTCTACAATGTCAGGGTGGACGCTCACCGGAACAGGCTCAGAAGACAAGCACCAGGACAGTGGCTCCTGCTGGAATCATCAAACCCAGAAAGTCAGTCTTCCAGGCAGAAATGAAATCAGCAACACAGTGATGAGGAAATGCTCTGCTGAATGCAAAACTCTGTTCAGTGTAATGTTTTTCTCTGGTTAGACAAAAGCATTCCTGCCTTTCCTACGGTCACGGCATATTTTTGGCATAGAGACAACTGCACTGTGGTTGTCATTATCAGAAGGCTTCATTTCTGGGTGTTTACAGCATGGCTCTATCCTTCTCCAAAACTTATGGTAACCTTGATCAGAAGAAAGAGGCAGGTCCTGGCTTAAATTCTCACCCGACATCTGTCACAGTCACTGGGGAAGGCAGAAGGTTGGTTTGAGGGGCATGACTTGCTCTTTTTTATGGAGATTTTCCTCTTTTGAGCCTTCATCCTCTAAGTTAAGGACAGTGAGCTGGCCTGAGTCCATAGGCTTCATTAAAATGCTTGCAAAATGGGAACAGAATGAGTTATTCTACCTTCCTGTGGGGCCAGAGGCCACTTCTGCATGTCCAGTTTGTTATACAGATGCTCATCCTCTAGGGGGTGCTGTCTGAGGGCAGCTCAGCCTGCCAGCAGCTGGAAACTTCTTGGCCATCCAGCCAGTGGTTGCCATTTGCCTTTGGGATGGAGAGGAAACCTTCACATCCGAGCCCAGCTGTTAATGGGATGTCGGTTCTGTAGTAGGGTAGAGACTTACCCAGAGCAGATTCCTTCTTGATAGCTCTGAAAAGTCTTTAGCTAAAGAGTGCAGAAGGGAAGCAGCACTATGCAGCACTTTGCCACTCTGGCATGACACCATCACTGCTTCTCCATGCATTAACACCTCCCCACCTCCATACCGTACAATCAGACTTCAGTTTCTACACGAAACCATAGACTTTTCAATGCCTAGTGTCCCTGCTCTGCACCAGGGACAGCACGGAATTCCATCTTCTCTGCCTTTGGTGGATAACACATCTAACAACAGCAGAGTGGTATCAGGATGAAGCCAATGCCCTTGAGGACAGTGCCTGCACGCCATGGAGAAGCCTTCCGTTTCCCTCACAGTCTGCTTATCCCACACCCACAGGAGGTGGGCTGTGCTTCTCATGGCTGTGAGGTAACCGTCTCGGGCCTGCCTGGAGGAGTTGCCTGGTGGCCCTGTTCGGACGGATTTGACTGATGGTAACAAAGGACACAGAGGCAGAGATGTTCATGGCCATCTGGCTAGCAGGATGAGAAGTGACTCCATTCCCTGGAGGGCGCTGGTAATGGATCCACAGATGAGCCGCCAATGGAACATGGGGCCACAGGGATGGAAGGGGAGCAAAGGAGCAGTGGTCAGAACTCAGCAGGGAAACATGCCCCATGCCCTCTGCCACTGGCTGGACTTCCTGTGTGCTCCTCTAGGGGCTGAGTCCTAGGCAGCCAGCCTAGGACTACACACTAGGCAGAAATGTCTGTGCCTTGTATGGACACTGGCCATTTTCACTACATTTTCCTCTGCACACTTTGAGATCTTGCTTTTCCTCTACATTTTCCTCCTATATTTCTCCCAATAAAGAAATGGAATAATAGGATGCAGCTGATTAATTTTCACTAATTGAGATAATTGAAGGTTCAAGAACAGACCTTGCAGTTATTTCATATTTGTTTGTTTGTTTTTTTCTCATCCTGGACCTTCATGACTCTGTTTTCTTCTTAGCACAATACATAGGGCAGGAGAGAGGGAGAAGGAATTCTGAGTGCTTCAAAGAAGGACAAAAGTCAGCTCAGTTTCTTCTCATTTCTTTGAGTTTGGTTTCCCCTTTTTGCCTCAGGTCTTTCATCAGTCAAATAGGCTGGATGAATACAGCGCACTGTCCTAAGCTGCCACAAGGAGCCTTGAACCATTAGAAACTACTGCTCCTCACTGTGATAAGCCCGAGTCACTTTGTCCACACTCGGAGCCTGACAGGGCTCACTGAGCACAGCCTGTGGGGCAGGGCAACACATCGTGCACCGGGAGGGGACTTCACATTGCTCTTCTCCAGCTGTCTTCCCTCCCTCAGCTTCTCTGCTCCCTTCTCTCCCTCCTTCTCCTCTACCCAAATCCAACAGAGCTCTGTTGCATCCCCAAAGCGACCACCTCCATTTTCATGGAAGGACGTACGTTTATTAGTTGCTCATTCAGCTGAAAGTCACTCTTTGATAACAGTAGTTTCCACAGGGTCTGGATGTCCCCACAGCATTTGATTTTCCCTGGACCATCACCAGTGACTCCACAGCACATTCTCCCACAGTGGCGAGCAAGGGAACAATTCCACTCTCTTCCACTGCAGAGGAAGAGCAACCCAGGTCGCAGAGGGAGGGCAAAGCCAGGTGACAGACTCTCCACCCAGGGCTGTCAGAGTCTGGAACAGAAGCAGCTCTTGGGGGCCGCAGCTGACTCACCAGCCACTCCCAGCGCCTGGAGCAGAGTGAATGCCTTGGTGCCACCCCTGACTGTGTTAAAAACAGCTTCTGGCAGAACTTGTTGTTTTCCTGGCCTATGAAATATTTAAAGGCCTTTACATGCTCCTGGTGGCCTTTGTTTTTGTGATTTTTGCATTCCTAAAAAAAAACGTTACCTTTCAGGCCTGGTAGGTGGCAAGTGGTAATTCTGCATGGCAACATTTAAAACCTCACTGGACTTCATGAATTTAGGAAGAATCTATGTCACCATATTGTCCCCTGCACAGGTATGGCAACTTCGAAAGAAGATATTTTATAAATTCATTTGTGAACATCTGGAATCAGGAAACTGGAGATTTTCTCTTCCTGGGGAGGGGCTGAAGGAAGGAGTGGAGGGGACCTTACCGTTTGTCATCCTTGTACCACTGGAACTCTGCAGAGGGCACTGCTGAGGCTTCACACTGCAGCGTCCCCTTCTGTCCCACAGGGACGCCTGTGCCCTTAGCTTCTGAAATGTAGGGAGGATCTGCAGAAAGATGTTCCACAGCACTTGAAAATGAATTTTAACCTGAAAAGGCCTCCCTCATTCATGGATTTTGTCTCTTTGCTCTCTGCCCTACTTCTGCTGACTTGCCTTGAGAAATTACTACAGAAATGATGCTGGGATGAAAACACTTTGAATGCTTTTCTAAAGGAAAGCATGGTCTTCCTAGCTAGTATCATTTCTGCTCTCCTGGGTAGAAAAGTAGGATGAATGACCATCTCTTTAGGAACAATTCCTGTTTTAACATTTTAACTTTCATACAATGATTCTACCCTTTCAACCCTACACTCCTTGGGTTGACAGCACCTTTAATCAGTCTTATAGAATTTCTGTGCCCTCAATTCTTGACAAAATATATGACTTCACCTACTCAACCATTGAAAGCTCAGTTACTAGCAATGATATTTATAAGGAATGGCCTGAATGATACACAGATCAGTCATTCTTTTTAGTGTTCTAAAATGGGCTGGCAAATCCAGCCAGACCAAACTAACCCCACAAACCTGGTCTGGACTTTCTAAGTCCACTAGGCTACCTGTGAGACTCTGGCAGTTTGCATTGAGAGGCATTGAACAAACAGCCTAATGCACTTGCTGGTCGGTTTATGGCAGGCTGTGGCACTCTTCACTGTGTCCTGGGGTGCTCGATTTGTGGAGACACCAAAGAGAGTTTTCTCTAGTTTCTCAGTACCAGTAAAATGAGTGTTTCTCTTGAGAAAACAATTTGTTTTTATCTTGTGTACAACACAAATCTTAAGTAAATGATGTTTTTTCTCTTTGCTTTACTGGTGCAATGCCAAATTGTGGACCTGTACCTAGCAAGCTGGTGGTATATATTTCAATATGCTGAATTTTCCCTAGCTTTGCCTTATTTTTCTTAGTAAGTTTTCCTTTGCTTCTATTTCTAAACTTTCAGGTTCATCATTATAAAGTGTGAACCATCCTACGTTCCTTTAAAAATAAGGTTAAAATATGGCATTTTAAAAAGACAGTGTTGTTATGATGCCTATTTCCTTGTTTCTTAAAGTATTTCAACTTATGTTCAAATAGGAACAGAAGCTGAAATATTAAACCGTGAGAATTCTCTTTGGCACGATGCCCCTCCCTCCCTTCACCCACCCAAGCATTGGAGAGGAGAGGTTTCTTGATGCTAAGATAGTTCTAGGGTTCCAGGTTGTCATAAGACCTCTTGCTATATGTATAATACAGAAACCTTAGAAAGTCACAGGAAACTCAGTCAGTGAACACAGTAAGGATCCCCAGGAGAAAGAGGGGAAAACAGGTTAGAAATCTATGTAGGATCAATGCAAGTGAGAAGTTGGCTGCCTGAGTAAGGAGAATAAGAGGTCTGCCCCAGTGGTTTCCCAAGTGCGGATTCTGTACCTGTCGTATACAGAAACGTTTTGTGCTATGTTCTCTAGTATCTGTACCTGTAAGTGTTTGCACTTAAATTCTGTTGAATTCTATGTATATTCACATTTATAATTATGCAGGGATGAGGTGCAGGAACCCTATCCTTTACAGACATAATAAATTTTCTTCATCCATTCTAGCACATGAAGCTGGTCCCACTACGGAGACACATGATCTAGGGAGCAGAGGTTTCCATTACATGAGTGAGTTATGGGGAAACTTTGGATTTGATTATGCGTTTATATAAATTATGCAATGAATGTCACTTGATCATCTTGACCATCTGATCATAATGCCATGCATGTCAAACTTGGCCTTGTAGTAAGTGATTTTCAGCCTACTTTTTGAAACATGGTGCTTCTCTGACATCTTGAGGTATCACAGTGTGCTTTCGACTCCTGCTCCTGAGAGCAGACTGTAGAAGTGGGGGACTCCAGGTCTGAGTCCACAGCTGGCTCTTATGGCCATGGTGGCCAGCCAGCCTCATGCATGTGAAGGGCAGGGGTGGAGGATACTTACAGTTCACAGTGACCTTCACTCTCCGCACCACGGGCGCGGCCACGTCGTTGGAGGCACTGCACTCGTAGTCTCCTGACTGCTCCCGGGTGATGCCCTGGATCTCTAGGTACTCATCTTCACTCACAAAGCCAACAGCTGCAGAAAAAGCAGTGTGGTATTGTGAGATGGGAGGGCAGAAAAGACTGAAGGCATAAACTTGGAAAGCAAAGCATCAGATGGTTACAGCTGCAGAGAACTGTGTCGCTTGTAAGTTTAGGCTCTGAGACGCTACAGGACTCTCCCTCCATGGCTCTCCTGCTCCTCTATCCACCAGCTTGACCTTGGGTCCTGGGGGACCAGTTGAGATGTCTCTGCTCTCAGATGAAGTAAACACAGTGTAGAGAGCATTACCAGGTTCTGAGCAAGGGATCAGTGATGGACCCTTCCTGCAACCTGGACCTCATCGGGCCACACAGCTCTAGGCTTTGAGTTAGGTGCTTCAATGCTTGCTGATCACAAGTCCTATTTAGACACAAACTTGAGTGTAGAACTTTTGACTGCCTCGTTGGGCAGGAATCAATGAAAAAGCCACCATAGCATTCTCTCTCTCTCTCTCTCTCTCTCTCTCTGGGTCTCTTTCTCTCTCTGTCTAACATACACACACAACACACACACACAAATACACCACAAAGGCAGTGTGATAGATTATGTTTAGAATAAACAATCAGGTGGATAGGCAGAACTAATTTTTCTAAACTTCAGCCTGTTGGATCCCTTAATTGCAAGACCTACGTCAGCAATGGGGACACTAGAGCTGATGTCTTAGCCAGAACAGAGAAGAAGCAAAGAGTATGAAGGGCCGGCTGCAAATCTTACAGTCACTCATTTATCCAAAGCCTCAATTTTTCTAGTGAAAAATATTTGTGAAGACCCCCTGCTAAGAAGATGTTGCACTTCACATCTAACTATAAGCATTCAGTTATGAAAAGAACAATATCCTGAAGTCTAGAGGATAGATGTTAAACTCCTGGCAGAGCCAGGCTGAGTCTTAGCTTCCTTGGTGAAAGAGAAGAACTGGCAGGTAAGCATCCACTCTGGGACCATCTTCCTTTGTATTAAGTGAGGATAATTAGGATACTTTAGAAAGAAATAATAGGGTAGCACTGCTTATTATTGGCCAGTAAGCTTGGCCCTAGTAGCAGAGAAATATTTTCTTGGATCTGAGATACATTCAATGCTAATACCTCACTTTTATTTCGAGCTACAAATTATGCATCAGTGGATGTGTGCAGACGCACACACACATACACATATACGGACCCCTGTAAAAGTGTTCATGGCCAGCCTATTTGTTGATGTAATTGTTAATCCTGTAATCTCCCTGGAGATCTGGACTCAGGTGAAGTGAGGCTACATTCACATGAATAGACGCAAAAAGGATCAAAGGGACATTTCTCCCCTGATTTTAAATCCATTTCATAATGCCACATTTTAACTGGCCCCAATCCCGAGGCTATAAACAGTAATGTGACACAGCAAGTGATGTATGTGGTGTGTTACATTATGGTTGCATTTTTTTACTACAGTGCTAAGGTCCTCATTTTTGAAAACAGTAACAATAGCTCTGGCAACACCAGTGAAACAAGACTCTTGTCAAGATTGTCTACCACTTGTCCAGCCCTGGACTTGTCCAGCCCATGACCTTGGTCATGAGTCTGTGGCATCAACCAACAGTACGCTTCACCTGAGCACTTCTTCACACCATGTGGGACCTACATTTGACACCTGTGAAGACCATCTTTTTCTATTACCTAGTGAAAGAGGAAACAGAACAGCATGTAACTATTTTAACAAACAAGAAAGAGATGCAACAGTTACAAAAACCACCCATCAGGAGCAAGTTCATAACGAGAAAACAGTGTTAAAAGAGCAACCTATACAGATGACCATCGATAGGGACCAACATAGACTCCTACTTCCAAACTGAAAGAACCTTGTAATTCTCTTAGTAGCTCCTATTATTATTGTTCCAAACATAGCTTCATGTGGGAAGAAACACAACCCTTGGTTGAAGGAGTAAGAACAGTGTAAGTGAAGCATTTGTGGTTGTTCTTGTATTGTTGTTTATTTGCTACCAACCACAGGCCTACATTTGTCAGATCTTTCCGTGCTGGAATGCTATAATTACTGTGCAAAACATCTCAGACACCAGTGTCACACTTAATATTCCCATTAATTTTAAATGGTAGTCCTTAGTACATATCTGTGGCAATTGGTGTCATATTTTAATTAGGCTTGCCCTACACCATCTGAAATTAATAATAGCTCGAATAACCAGTGTAATTTATAAATTAACAGTGCTGCAGCATTAGGAAATAAATTAGCTCTGGACAGCTGTTCTGGATTGTGCTCCAGGGCTGTGGCAGTGGACGGAGGCCCTCGAGCCTCTGGGGCTGTGTGGTTGGTACACCACCAAAGCAGAGAAGGAAAAGATGCAAGTCTCCTGCTTCGCACCCCCTCTCCAGCTCAAGACTACACATTGTTTTTAATTCTACCACCCACACATGCTCTTGTTGACACCACTGAGATTTACAGGGACTACTGTTTGATGAACTTGCTCTGTGGATATCCAAAGGGAGAAGAAGAATGTTGGGAGGATTACAATCATAGTTCAAAATTCAGTACACAACATTGTGTTAGGGTAATCCAAGTCAAGAAGTCATCCTGCTTTCAACAGGGACATAGGTATATGAATAGATGTAATTTCAATTACTCCTACCAGGTGATGTCTATTCTGAAGGAAGGGAATCCAGTAAGGTTTAAGGTTTGGGAGAGGCAAAAAGTCTTTACTTACCCAGTTTTCTATTATCAGAAAGAGGGAATATGCAGTCCAGTCATCCTGGAAAAACCAGTGAGACACTGTGTTTCCTAGATCAGGTGTAGACTTATAGAGAAACCACAATGCTGTCATCCTTCACCAGTTATTATACCTCTACTTTCTGATTAAATTGGGAAACTAATGAAAAACTATTTCTATGTATAAAAGTGCTTCATAAATTTCAGTTTTATTGTCACTATTTTCACCCTTCCTTTGGTACGCATTTTTCTCTATGTGGCAAATCTAGGAAGAAAGATGACCACTATACACACAGAATACTAGATTTTGAATCACCAGAAATGAGACTCTGGTACGTACTACTTAAAACAAACAAAACCCACTAAAGGGGAAATGTAGATTTTTTTAGAATTAAAGAATCAAGAAAATCTTTCATGTAACAGTATTTGTAATCCAGATATAAATTAGTGTTTTATCACTGGTCTGAAGAACTTACAAGAGAGTGTTTAAGGGAATAAAAGAACAGCTCAATGGAGCATACTTTATAAGTGCTACAGGATTCTTAAGAGGCATCAGTGTGAAGAGGCGGACCACCTGACAGAATCCGGTGGAAAGGAACTTTTCATGGTCAACAGCTTTTTATTTATAACTATGTTTTGTCCTCTCCTAGAGAAAATGCACCCTCAGGTAGAAAGGACACTCATCTTCTTAAAATATCACCTTCCTGGGGCGTACTCCTCAGACACTGGAGTGCCTCCCTATTTTCTGTAACTTCCCACCGCCTTATTGTTAAAAACCTCTGCAAAGCATTGCTAGTGTCCTCACCCAAACTCATCCTGCATTAGTGCTGCAGAGAAGGGAATATATCGTCATTATGAAGAGTAAAAATGGAGATCAGACAAAGCCAATTCTCTGCCTTGTAGTTTCATAATGATAAAAGCTACGTAACTCTTTGCACTTCCATTTCTCAAGCTACAGAACTCTGAATAATGCTGCATACTTCATGTGTTGCTTTGAAGTACAAAAGATGGGCTGTACTGGGATGTAGGAGGCACAGAATAAATGCTCAGTGAGGTTTAACTACCATGATCAGCATTATCATAGCCACTGACGCGACCACGACTCATATTTTCTTCACTTTGGACAAACATGTTTGTTCCATTCTTCAGACTGCTTTTGTTATCTACAAAGCTGTGTTCTTTCTGTCTACTTAAGCAAATAGTGTTTATGTTTTAATTTCTAAATCACTTGTGAAAAGTCCCTAATTTGGGAGGAATTTTGTTCTTCAAAAACATGTTTAAGTCCTAGCCATCAGGACCTCAGATTGTGAATGCATTTTTGTAAAAATAAACTTTATAAAATAATCCAGGTGATATGCAGTGCTGGGGTGGGCTTTAATCCCATTGGCTTGTAACTCACAGGAATGCAGATGCAATGGTAAACCGGGGGTGCCCAGAGCTGCTTGTGTGCGCCAGAAGTTTCAAGAGCAAGAGAAAGCTCTCTTGTATGCTTGTCAGCCAAAGCACGGGCCAGCCAATACCTCAGTGTCAACCATTCAGAACTGTGTGACAGTAGACTGGGGTAGTTGGAGGCACACAGCGCTGTGTTCCTTGTTATGCTCCGTGGGACAGGAACACTGCCTCTCTTATCTCCAGCTCTCCATTCCTTGGGCTGCCAGCTCTCTTGTTGAACACTGACTTCATGTAATCTGTAAATCCATAGAAGAATGAGCTAAAAGGCTTAAAGGGACGTTAATGGTTACGTAATCCCACAGCTGCTATTTTAGGACATAGTCCTATGGCAGTAGAATCCCCTAGAGTGGCTCTTTAAAACACAGATTTCTAGGTCACACTCCTAGGTACTAAATCAGACTCGCCTGGGACGAGGCACTTTCCTTTTCGTACCAGGGAGCTCCCGCATAGTCCACTTTAAAAAGTAGTGACTTAGCTTCCTTACTTCATTTTCATGAGGAAACACAGGCCTAGCAGAGTCCACAGCCACAGGTCAGCTCAGTGCTAGGCACAACAGTGCTTTGATGCCCAAGTCCACTCTTTTAACTGTCATTGTGTTTTCTAATAGTTTTTTACTGGGAAACACTCTGCTCTTTGGGTCAATTTTTTAGACAATGGGAATCATGTTCTAGATACCTTTGGCAGTTAAAGAACCTGAGAAACTAGTTTAATTAATTGGAAACTTGTCAAATGCTCTTTCATTAAATGGTTGTTAGACAGTCCTAGCCTGACACACTGAATTCAATTTAAAAGCCAAGGACTCCATGTCACTCACAAGTCCTCTTGTTCCTCTATTTCTAAACCATGTC